ATATAGATGGGTAGTATATAAAAAGAAATAATATTGAACAATAACTTAATACTTTTATGTTTAAGCACGGTTTGTACTATGTTTGTAAATAAGAGTAGTATTTAAAGAAAAATTAATTGAAGTGTTTAATAGTAGTAGTGGGTAATAACAGTTGCTTTTGTATGGACCACTTTAACAAAGTCTAACTCAATTTTCCGGCACACTGTTAACTATGTCCAAACAATTAAAGACTTGAGCTACCACTGTACGGTACGAAACCTCCTAAATTTCTAAAGTAGGAGAAAAACACCAAAAATAATAATTAATATATTGTTTCTTTGTTCTATATTTCATGTGATAAAAGGAGGATAAGCATTAGAATGGCATAAAAGTTGCACATAAAAAAGCAAAGAAAAAGAATATGTGACGACATTTTAGTAAAAATCGCATGCAAATACATCGATCTCGCATCCATTCATGTCAGGGTATTATTGGTGGCAAATCTAGGCACCAGTCATGTTTCTGAGTCGTCAGCATAAAATTTTCAGTTTTTGGTAAATGTTCCTTTCTCCTATTTTCTTATTTTCTTTCTTTCAGTTAAATCTTTCAGTAAAATTGTTATTTATTGCTCACAGTTATTTTTATATACATATCATCCAACCATACACATTGCTGTTAAAATTATAAGTCATGTATATTTTATTTTATATATTTAGTTTCTCTTTGTCTTCTTTAAATCATCCAGTTTTTTAATTTTTTTATTAGAACTATACATAAGATTTGTCTTATGAGAATGATGATTAAATGTTTTTTTCCAATAGTTAGAGTATGTACCAAATAAATTATAATCTTAAATAGTCCTTGTTAGAGTAAACNCTTTCTCCTATTTTCTTATTTTCTTTCTTTCAGTTAAATCTTTCAGTAAAATTGTTATTTATTGCTCACAGTTATTTTTATATACATATCATCCAACCATACACATTGCTGTTAAAATTATAAGTCATGTATATTTTATTTTATATATTTAGTTTCTCTTTGTCTTCTTTAAATCATCCAGTTTTTTAATTTTTTTATTAGAACTATACATAAGATTTGTCTTATGAGAATGATGATTAAATGTTTTTTTCCAATAGTTAGAGTATGTACCAAATAAATTATAATCTTAAAAAGTCCTTGTTAGAGTAAAACTATAATTCCAAAGGTCAAAACTTCATCAAAATGATGCTCCACACCGAACTAAGAACCTCGAGTTACACTATAAGGTTTGAGAATATATATTTAACAATTAGTCCATTTTCTATTCTAATTTTTCTATGACTCATTCTTATATACAGTTGTGATTCACTCGCATTCATTAATGTGTTATATAAACAAAGTATTCCTAATATAAAATATTAGGTAGACTTTTTTTTTCTATTGCAAATAAGGTCACTTTATTGATATCTTATATACATGAGTGTTGTTTTTATAAGTAATTACAATTTTTAGTTCGTGAAATATATATTTTAAACGTAAAACTAAATATTAATAAATGATTTAATAAAAATAAAACAAAATCTTTTTAAAATAAATTTTAATTTATTATTTTGATACCATATAAACTTTAAATTTAACTGAACTTAAATTTGATACAATTAACTTTGAGATTAAAAAATCTTAATTTTTTTTAGAATAGCAATAATAAATTTAATCAAAATGTGAAAACAGTTAGCTACCTATATATCTAAAATTCTATTTCTAGACTGATTTTACTGAATTGATTGACCACATCAGTTCAGTGTTTGTTACATCAACAGTTGTTTAAAGTTATAATTGATAAGAAAGGTACATGCATATTATATTAAATCTAAATTTAAAAGAAATTCCATACATTTTAAAAATATTAATTATTCGAAAAAGTATTGCACTCGTTAATTATTATGTAAGATAAAACATGTTAGAAGAGAAGTAGTGGATAAAATAAGAAGAAAATGATTATAAGATTGATAAAAAAACAATTACAGAGAATTAACATGGGAAGAAGTGAAAAAGGTTCCCTCTGTGAAACACTAAATAGACATGAGATATCTGAATGAATCATCAAACAGTTTGATTTTCACAGTGAGCAAATGAATATAGTAAATAAACGTAAGAGTAAAAGTTGGTTTGTTCTTAAAAGTTTGAGTGGTCGAAGTATAATAGGTTGAATTTTCATGCACGTGAAAGAATTTGTTCTTGCTTGGTCTGAGCCCAGTTCACAATGCATGTGACAGAAGATGGAAAAAGGAAACTTCACAGCCATTTCTCCATCTCCATCACTCCCATGTGATTCATCTATTTTCAACTAATTAGCTGATTGGCTAAGTAATGAAATCGAGAAAAAGAATTTTCACGAATGCATTTTATATACTTGTGGGAGTGTATGTACGACCTCAGACAACACAAATCCAGAGGACTATATTATATCTTATACTATATTATATAATATTAATATAACGTTATATCAAGATAACGTCTTCCCATCATTGTTAATTCTATTGTATACAGTGTTATTAAATTACTCATTTGAATAGCTAAATATGAATCTTCTCCTCTTCTTTTTATTTCCTTTTTCTTTTGCTTGAAATTGTAGGTTGCGTGTTTTGTTCAGTCAATATATTATAAAAAGTCTCAAAAGAATATGCAGAGAATAAAGCAAAAAAGAAAAGGGAAGAAGAGGGTTATTTAATTTACCCCAATCTTATTTATAAACAAAAGCTCGAGTATATTAAATTAATAAGCAGTGCATTATTAGACTGAGAGGAAGCTAAGATTGCGGTGGTCACATGACACTCTTCCACTGAGCGTGAACGAGATCACTATACCAATGAGTGATGTATGCATACACACTGATATACGTATACTTGTATGGCAAATGGCAAATACGTAGTCACAAGACTAAACCCTAAAATAAAAAAGTCTCACAAGTCATTCTCTATACTCACACTACCTTCATGCATTTATTTAAGGCCACCACGTATGTTGTTTTCCGTTGTCCCTTTGCTCAGATTGAATTTGGAATATTTTTTTCTTCCTCATGCATTCTGGACATGATTTCTCATGAAACATTTTAAAATTCAGGAAAGGAGAAACTGCAACAACTGAGTGAGAATAATTTTCTGAATTAGATAACCTTATGTGATTAATTAAATGTGCAATTAAAGTAATAGCACCTCAGATAAAGATTCTTTCACAAGCCATTTTCATGAAAAACTAACTTAGTTCTTAATTGGAGAAATCAATAAAAATAATAATAATAATATCATGACATACTTCTACGTTCATTTGACACACACACTACAAGAATAAAATGATCATAAAAATATAAATTGTTATAATTTTTCAAGAAAAAAAGTAAAAAATAAGAAAGAATAATATCAAATGAATGTAAAAAAAATTATGTGTCAATGAATATTTTTAAAAAAAATTACCCTATTAGATTTGACACAAAGTATAAGGATAAAATGGTCATAAAAGTGTAAATTTTTGTATTTTTTTTAAGAAAGAAGAAAGTAAAAAGTAAGTAAAGATAGTATCAAATAAATATAAAAATTTGATGTGTGTTAAATAATCATTATTCTATTAAAATTTGTGTGTATGTTTGTTACTGTTGAGGTATCTGTTTTAATCCTAACGGGTCAATGTGCCTGGACCTCACCTCCCACACAATAAGCCCAAACCAATGAAACTAGGGTTTATCTTCCTACTCTTTATAACTTCTCTCACATTCATAATGTAAAAAATACCAACATGCTTCACTTATAACACATCATATATCATTTTCTCAAATTATGGAAACAGAAAAAATTAGAGAAAAAAAAATAGAGACTTGATTATACATAATTCAAAAGTTATTTTTTTTCATTCAAATATCGAGTGGCTCGATTTTAACCTACGATTTGAACAGTTTTTGATCCAAAAGGTCGGATAAATAAAATATTAAATATGGTATAAACCAAATTAAGCATATTGACAGAGGTGTGATCTGATACATGATTAGCAAGATTGAAAAGACAAAAAATGAGCGTTCTTAAATATGTGATAATATAAATAAAGGAGAAGGCCATATTTTGCAAATAAAAAAAAGTAAGGTTAGATATTGATGTCTCCAAAGCTAAGCCATATACATCTTTGACCAAGCTTCGTGCAGAAACAAGAAGTTGCTTGAAGCCATTCCAATTCCACACATGAAGTGGACAAAACAACCCTTCATATTTACTAGTTAGAATATTAAGATCATGGCTAGCTACATGCCATGCCATATGCATAGTGGCATTTAAATTTGCAGGTTTTCCTTTAAAATATATCACTGTTCAACTGCATGAGCATGGGGTAGTATTTGCCATGTTCGTCAATAGTTTATTCTTTACTCGCTTTCATAACAACACCCTCCATATTGCTTCAACAAATATCTAATGCATTAAATAAACAATATCAAAAGACAAGTTAGGAGGATAAAAAACTATGTTTTGTGTAGTTTAGGAGCATTTAATATGCTTGCTTACAGTGTCTGTAGTTAAAAAAAGATTCAACATTTGTTCATTAAGTATCTGTTAATAAGAATTTGCTACACATTTAGCCGTAGTAGAACTTGTTGGAAATAAACCAAAATGTTAACAAAAACATTTTTCAACTTGTTTTTCTTATTCATTAGACTCAAATTTAAAGCTTGTTATGAGATAACAAGTATCTTTAAAAAAGATTAATTATGTTCAAACTAGATATAAACCCAACTCTACCCTTAAGCGCTCCTCTGTAATGATTATATTAAAAGTCTTCAAAAGAGAACATAGGAAGGCAAAATGACAACAGTTGCGTGTATTATTAGGCACTTTGGATAAAAAAAGTAGTAGAGGCTACGTGGTACGAAGGAGAGAGAGGGTCTCACATGGTCATGTATGGTTATGACGGAGACATAGTCTCTTTCGTCAAGGCTGTTTTCAGAGAAGATGGAGACATGTCATTGTTTGTCTACACTTCACTTTATTTACCTGCACATCATGTCCCCAAAAAACTATACTCAACATAATTTCCTCCCACTGCTCAAACGTCGGTTCTCACATACCCTATCTGAATTAATCAGCGCCCAAACTACACTTATTATAGATGACGCAAGTAAATGCACTGATTCTAATGCTATTGCTAACAAGTTCAGGAACATGCATGAGCAGAAATGATGACCAGGTGAATCACCAATTATTTGTTTTTTATTCACCAACTGAAGTTCACAAAGGTTGATCTGTAAAACAATTTGGACTGGAATGATCAAAGGATTCTCCCAATATACTTGTTATAGTGAAGTGTCTAGAAAACTTGAAAACAGTTAACAGGTAGAACATCCCAGCAAAGTAAATAATGTTCTCTGATCTGCCCATCAATTTGTCTTCAAGACAATCTTATCGCGGGGTGCTGAGACCCATTTCTGAGAAAATTTGAAAAGGATAAAAATTACATAAGCACAGGCTTACAACAGGAAGTCTCATCTACACAATAGAATAATAACTAAGCAAAGCAAGTGAAGTTTAACACACACAGTACCAGAGCAAAACCTCAAAGCGACGCAGTTCGTGAAAAAATGGCTGTGAATATGTAAAAAGGCTGAAGCTTGAAGGTAAATAAACGTACAAGGTAGCAGCAGGAAGCCATTGCATCCTTTGGTTTTTTACATGGAAATTGAAAAGGAGAATTATAGATGAATTATTTTGTTCACATCCCAGATGTGGTTTTACACATTTACTGAGAACTTAATAGTTTTAGCTTCTACATTCCAAATATCATTTCTTACTTTTTAAATGGGTTTCCAAATGCTATTTATCACATGGATGAAACCAATGAATAACAAGCATAACATTGATGTCACCTAAGTTGTTTATTCAGACAACGCTTAGGAAAAGTATGATTGTCTGTGACAAACGGGATCAGAATTATAGAGAAAATGAGAAAAAGTCCACTGAATATAGTATGATCACGCTCACAGAGACTTGGCGGTCTGCACTTCTCAGTGTCCAAAGGCCCTAACCCTTCTCAAATGAAAGGATACCCTTCTCTGGATCCTCCGTCCCATTTATAACCAACAGCATGCCTTACTCCGTTTTGTCCAATCCCTTAATTACAAGAAACTAACTGAATCTAACAATTAACTAACTAAGACCGTTAGTTAACTAACATGTACTAAATAACGTGAGAGTTGCAATCTCCCCTCTTATCCTTTGGAAATCAGAATTTCAGTAAAACCGGAAGTGTTCTCTGGCCACACCATGATCCAAGTGGCCTTCTGTTCCAGTCTGTCGTATGTTCTCTCAGCCCTCAGTTACTGTCGTGTCCCTTTATTCTCTTTAATTTGATCACCCTTTTGTTGTAGTATATTCTACATTCTGAAACAGGTCATTCAGGATTCATCTTTCTCTACAGTGTCTTCTTCTATTTTACCATGTTTTAATTTTCTGATTTGGGTTTTAAAATTTAAACATTTATAAACTAACACGTATAATATATTTTTTTTAGTTCATAAAATTCAATAATGTAGCAGCCCCACTATAGAATTTTCAGTGTCTTCCTTCGCAAGGGTGATATTCACTACGATGAGTTTCTATGTACAGAAGTTCTACCCAAGAGGAAAAATTAAATGCAATAATATGAATCAAAGCTCAGAGCTTGGTACGTACTTTGATATCATTTAGGTACAGATCATATCCTTAATTATACAACCTAAGTAATCGGTTCTTCCTCAGATTCAAGGGCAACAATGAGGGGATTTGGAATGGCAACTTGGTGGTGAGCATGTGTGCACTTTGCAATGGATAAATCAAGGATTTCCAGGTTCATATGCGTGAGCTTCGAAAGTGACAGTCAACAAGCACAAACAACTCATGGAGTGTTTGTTTTTGTGTTGGAGAGGCTATAGCTCAGGTTGTAGGATATGTTTTGCATTAAAAGGTCCAAAGATCATTTGACAAATTCAGAACACAAACTTCTTGAGTCTTTTGAGCCCCTCAACCTGGAAGCAACATTTTGGCTGCTTTTGCATTGAGTAAAATCTGGCTTCGGTGTATTGATAAAAAAAATTCCTATTAACTTGATATTATCTTACTGTTTCAATAATATCAAACAAAAATAATATCCTTTATAGAAAATATAGATCTCAAAGTAACTTCTTATCAACACTATCCAGACAACATTCATCATAAAAAAGTCATTTGCCAAATAAATGTTTCCAAATATAGTGCGCATTCGGATTCACATTGAACCATCCAAAATCATGTTGCAATAACAACTGGTGTAATTTTAGATAAATGTTCATATGTTTAGTCTAACTTCAAGTTGTTGATTACGGGGCCAACATTAATTGAGTTGAGGTAACTTTAGAAAGCTTTTGTATTGGATAAAAAAATTTAGAGTTTTACTACTAACCAGCTTTTAGAATAAAAATAGCCAAACATAAATCACTTCACTTCAAAAACTCTTTTGTGAGTTCACTCAAACTCACACATGAATCCATCCACCCAATTCCCCATTTTAACCAAAATCAATTTTAGAAAAGAATGTTCATTAAAAATCAAGTTTATAAACTCCAATTCAAAGACAGTCTTAGTGGTACAACGCAAGCCAACTACTACACAGTGTGAATCAGTGAGAAAATAATAAAAGAAAATCACAAAAATATTACGAACAATGGACATAGAATAAACTATCACAATGTAAAGTGATGATATTCTCCAGCAAATATAAATTTCATTGCTCCTACTGTTTTAATGCCACTAAAATTCACTTTATTTACTTTCCTATCAATTCTTCAATATGAATGTGGACACAGTAGTTTTGAGGCCGCTCCCTAAGCAAAGCTACAATCTTATATAGGACAATGGATATGCGAGGAGCCTCTGACACAAGAGTACGTCAGTATTTTTTAGTTTTTTATTCCCCTCAGATTATCAGTTGTTTACGACGACATATGATTAACATTAGCTCACAGGCCACTCGCAAAGCAAAACTGCAATCTTGTATAGGTTAAAAATAACCTGATAGCAACGTCCTCTTGTTTTGCTAAAATATAGACACAGCAAGTTGCCTAATCATGAACAAAATGAAACAAACACTGAGACTCTACGATGCATAATAGATAGGGATTTGGAACTCGAAGAAATGATAATGCGGTTAGTTTGAGAAAAACTCAGTATGCCTTAGTTTGATTGGGTAGATGGCATTAAGAAAAGAGGGGAAGTAACAATGAAGCTTACAGAGAAGAAAGCGGTAAAAAGAATTGGAGAAATCAAACTCCGGGGTTGGCACTGCAGAGCATACCCTGGGACAACGACCTCGACCTACTCGAATCGATGCCTAGACAAGAAGTGAGGCGCGCCGACGACACCGCCGAGTGCAGCGGAAGCAGCGACTGCAGGCAACCGAGCTCCCCACCCACCCACCTGAACCAAAAAAAAAAAGAAGAAGAAGCGCAGAATAAACATAAAATCCAATTGGGTCGAAGAAAAGGGATCACTTCATAGGGGAAACAGTCTTGCCTGGTCGTAACCGGAGAACGAGTTTTGAGGAGAAAAGCTGAGGGTGTGGGCTTGGAAGCTGGTTTGGTGATGGTGGATTTGATAAAGGACAATGCTGGTTGCGAAACAGATCTATAACGAGAAGCCATTGCAGCCACCCACCAAATTCCAGAGTTAGGGCTTTTACCTGTCACAGTTCAAGAAAGGGTTTTGCTGAGGGTTTTGTCCTTTTTCACTATTATTTTTCTTGTTCTTGTTCTACTCCTTTTCTTTTTTTCATTTTTTTTCCTTTTTTCCTTTCTTTTGCATTTTAATGAAAAGGGGAATAAATTGAGGTAACTTGTAAGGGAGAAATGAAAAATAAATAAATAAATAACTTGCCTTTGAGTTAAATAGTTGAGATAAGAGGTCTTATTTGTTCGTTTTAACTATAAGTAACACAAATAATTATTTTTTATTTAAAAAACCTATTGATCTCTAAACTCGTTGTTATAGTTTTCTCTTTTAATAAGAAAATTATTTAAGTCAGATTCCAAAATTTAAAAATTGTATGCTTATAGTATTTTAACGTGTAAGTACAATTACATTTTTTATTAAACGTAAAAATGTAAACTAAGGAGTTTTTTTTAATAAAAATTAAAATAAAATCTAATATTTTCATATACTANAGTGACGTTTAACACACACAGTACCAGAGCAAAACCTCAAAGCGACGCAGTTCGTGAAAAAATGGCTGTGAATATGTAAAAAGGCTGAAGCTTGAAGGTAAATAAACGTACAAGGTAGCAGCAGGAAGCCATTGCATCCTTTGGTTTTTTACATGGAAATTGAAAAGGAGAATTATAGATGAATTATTTTGTTCACATCCCAGATGTGGTTTTACACATTTACTGAGAACTTAATAGTTTTAGCTTCTACATTCCAAATATCATTTCTTACTTTTTAAATGGGTTTCCAAATGCTATTTATCACATGGATGAAACCAATGAATAACAAGCATAACATTGATGTCACCTAAGTTGTTTATTCAGACAACGCTTAGGAAAAGTATGATTGTCTGTGACAAACGGGATCAGAATTATAGAGAAAATGAGAAAAAGTCCACTGAATATAGTATGATCACGCTCACAGAGACTTGGCGGTCTGCACTTCTCAGTGTCCAAAGGCCCTAACCCTTCTCAAATGAAAGGATACCCTTCTCTGGATCCTCCGTCCCATTTATAACCAACAGCATGCCTTACTCCGTTTTGTCCAATCCCTTAATTACAAGAAACTAACTGAATCTAACAATTAACTAACTAAGACCGTTAGTTAACTAACATGTACTAAATAACGTGAGAGTTGCAATCTCCCCTCTTATCCTTTGGAAATCAGAATTTCAGTAAAACCGGAAGTGTTCTCTGGCCACACCATGATCCAAGTGGCCTTCTGTTCCAGTCTGTCGTATGTTCTCTCAGCCCTCAGTTACTGTCGTGTCCCTTTATTCTCTTTAATTTGATCACCCTTTTGTTGTAGTATATTCTACATTCTGAAACAGGTCATTCAGGATTCATCTTTCTCTACAGTGTCTTCTTCTATTTTACCATGTTTTAATTTTCTGATTTGGGTTTTAAAATTTAAACATTTATAAACTAACACGTATAATATATTTTTTTTAGTTCATAAAATTCAATAATGTAGCAGCCCCACTATAGAATTTTCAGTGTCTTCCTTCGCAAGGGTGATATTCACTACGATGAGTTTCTATGTACAGAAGTTCTACCCAAGAGGAAAAATTAAATGCAATAATATGAATCAAAGCTCAGAGCTTGGTACGTACTTTGATATCATTTAGGTACAGATCATATCCTTAATTATACAACCTAAGTAATCGGTTCTTCCTCAGATTCAAGGGCAACAATGAGGGGATTTGGAATGGCAACTTGGTGGTGAGCATGTGTGCACTTTGCAATGGATAAATCAAGGATTTCCAGGTTCATATGCGTGAGCTTCGAAAGTGACAGTCAACAAGCACAAACAACTCATGGAGTGTTTGTTTTTGTGTTGGAGAGGCTATAGCTCAGGTTGTAGGATATGTTTTGCATTAAAAGGTCCAAAGATCATTTGACAAATTCAGAACACAAACTTCTTGAGTCTTTTGAGCCCCTCAACCTGGAAGCAACATTTTGGCTGCTTTTGCATTGAGTAAAATCTGGCTTCGGTGTATTGATAAAAAAAATTCCTATTAACTTGATATTATCTTACTGTTTCAATAATATCAAACAAAAATAATATCCTTTATAGAAAATATAGATCTCAAAGTAACTTCTTATCAACACTATCCAGACAACATTCATCATAAAAAAGTCATTTGCCAAATAAATGTTTCCAAATATAGTGCGCATTCGGATTCACATTGAACCATCCAAAATCATGTTGCAATAACAACTGGTGTAATTTTAGATAAATGTTCATATGTTTAGTCTAACTTCAAGTTGTTGATTACGGGGCCAACATTAATTGAGTTGAGGTAACTTTAGAAAGCTTTTGTATTGGATAAAAAAATTTAGAGTTTTACTACTAACCAGCTTTTAGAATAAAAATAGCCAAACATAAATCACTTCACTTCAAAAACTCTTTTGTGAGTTCACTCAAACTCACACATGAATCCATCCACCCAATTCCCCATTTTAACCAAAATCAATTTTAGAAAAGAATGTTCATTAAAAATCAAGTTTATAAACTCCAATTCAAAGACAGTCTTAGTGGTACAACGCAAGCCAACTACTACACAGTGTGAATCAGTGAGAAAATAATAAAAGAAAATCACAAAAATATTACGAACAATGGACATAGAATAAACTATCACAATGTAAAGTGATGATATTCTCCAGCAAATATAAATTTCATTGCTCCTACTGTTTTAATGCCACTAAAATTCACTTTATTTACTTTCCTATCAATTCTTCAATATGAATGTGGACACAGTAGTTTTGAGGCCGCTCCCTAAGCAAAGCTACAATCTTATATAGGACAATGGATATGCGAGGAGCCTCTGACACAAGAGTACGTCAGTATTTTTTAGTTTTTTATTCCCCTCAGATTATCAGTTGTTTACGACGACATATGATTAACATTAGCTCACAGGCCACTCGCAAAGCAAAACTGCAATCTTGTATAGGTTAAAAATAACCTGATAGCAACGTCCTCTTGTTTTGCTAAAATATAGACACAGCAAGTTGCCTAATCATGAACAAAATGAAACAAACACTGAGACTCTACGATGCATAATAGATAGGGATTTGGAACTCGAAGAAATGATAATGCGGTTAGTTTGAGAAAAACTCAGTATGCCTTAGTTTGATTGGGTAGATGGCATTAAGAAAAGAGGGGAAGTAACAATGAAGCTTACAGAGAAGAAAGCGGTAAAAAGAATTGGAGAAATCAAACTCCGGGGTTGGCACTGCAGAGCATACCCTGGGACAACGACCTCGACCTACTCGAATCGATGCCTAGACAAGAAGTGAGGCGCGCCGACGACACCGCCGAGTGCAGCGGAAGCAGCGACTGCAGGCAACCGAGCTCCCCACCCACCCACCTGAACCAAAAAAAAAAAGAAGAAGAAGCGCAGAATAAACATAAAATCCAATTGGGTCGAAGAAAAGGGATCACTTCATAGGGGAAACAGTCTTGCCTGGTCGTAACCGGAGAACGAGTTTTGAGGAGAAAAGCTGAGGGTGTGGGCTTGGAAGCTGGTTTAGTGATGGTGGATTTGATAAAGGACAATGCTGGTTGCGAAACAGATCTATAACGAGAAGCCATTGCAGCCACCCACCAAATTCCAGAGTTAGGGCTTTTACCTGTCACAGTTCAAGAAAGGGTTTTGCTGAGGGTTTTGTCCTTTTTCACTATTATTTTTCTTGTTCTTGTTCTACTCCTTTTCTTTTTTTCATTTTTTTTCCTTTTTTCCTTTCTTTTGCATTTTAATGAAAAGGGGAATAAATTGAGGTAACTTGTAAGGGAGAAATGAAAAATAAATAAATAAATAACTTGCCTTTGAGTTAAATAGTTGAGATAAGAGGTCTTATTTGTTCGTTTTAACTATAAGTAACACAAATAATTATTTTTTATTTAAAAAACCTATTGATCTCTAAACTCGTTGTTATAGTTTTCTCTTTTAATAAGAAAATTATTTAAGTCAGATTCCAAAATTTAAAAATTGTATGCTTATAGTATTTTAACGTGTAAGTACAATTACATTTTTTATTAAACGTAAAAATGTAAACTAAGGAGTTTTTTTTAATAAAAATTAAAATAAAATCTAATATTTTCATATACTATTAAAGTGAATTTGTTCCATTGAAAAAAAAATATTTAAATTTGAATTTTGGAAATTAGAAAAAGAAAAAATATATATACACAAAGATATTTTAGTAAATAATATTAGTAAAATTAACCAAGTACTAATAATATAGTAATCCATATAATTACTTTTATTTATTTTTTTATGACTTGTTAACCAAACAATAAAAGATTACTTCTTTAGTTTTCTTTATGATTGTCAATGTCAAGTTTAATCTGATTAACCTGTTAAGATGTATATCCTGGGTTAATTTAACTTTTTCACCAAAAAGAAAGTTAATTTAAATGAATTTTAATTTAACTTAAGGTGATTTAAAGTTTAGCTACCACAATATTAACAGGATCTTTGACCTGATTATTACTTTTATTTCTTATACTTTGATTTATTTAATAAATTTGTATGGGGCTAAGTTTAAGTTCAACAAATTTTGGATCACACAATAGTAAAGAAATGAGTGCACTGAAATATCAAAAGTATGCTTATTATAAGTTTATATGCTTCTCCATAGAACTTCTAATTGTAAATTATTCTATTTTGAGCTAAATTTAAATCAAAATGAATTCTACAATATCATGTTTGTTAGCATTCAGCAACTTATTTTACAAAATATTTGTTGACTCACAATTTTAGGAAAAAAAGCGAACATTAAAGGACTGAGAATTTCTCTCCTTTCATTTTTGTATCCAATAAACATTAGATGTTTTTTTTTTAATTTCAATGTTAATTACCCATTTGTCCTAATAATCTTAAGACTTAAATAATGCTTTTAGTCATCATAACATTAATGAGTTTTGATGTTGGTTCTTATAATTTTTTTAGCCTCCAAATTGTGAAAGAGTGTTTCATCCTACACCTCCAAGATCTCATCCTGCACCTCCAAAAATTCCACTTTTAACCTTCTGACATCTCATCATCATCCTGCACCTCCAACTTTTTCAAAACTTTATTTTTAACTTTAATAAATATTTTTCCATTTTCTTTTCTTTTTTATTAAAAATAATCTTCACTACCTTAATAATAATTTAATTTAATTTATTTTAAAATTTAAATATTATTCAAAATAATTTTGTACTTTAATAATTATTAAAATATAATTTATATTATAATAATAGTTATATTAAAAACATAAAAATAAAATAATAACAATAATAAATAATAATAAAAATAAATTTGATTTAATATATTCAAATATATTAAATTATAATAAAATATTAAAATAAATTAAATAATTATTAAGTTTTAAATAAAAATGAAAATTTTAAAACGTTTATTTATATATTAAAATCTATAAAATATGTTAATACTTTGCTTTTTATTTAAAATTTAATAAATATTAAACTTAAATAAAAATTATAATATAATAACTAAAATAAGAATAAAAATAAAAGTAAAAACAATATTTAAAATCATATTTAATATATTTAAATATATTAAATTATATTAAAATATTAAATTAAATTTAATAATTATTAAAATTTTAGAAAAACAAAATTTTGAAAAATTTGTTAATCGGATATAGATATCCGATAAGTTATAAATCGGATATCCATATCCGATAAAGAGTTTTTAAAATTTTATTTTATATATAAATTTTAATAATTATTTAATTTAATTTAATATTTTAATATAATTTAGTATATTTAAATATTTTATTTAATATAATTTTATTTGTTAAATAACTGTTTTAAAATTTTGTTTATTATTTAAATTTTAATAATTATTTAATTTAATTTAATATTTTAATATAATTTAATATATTTGAATATATT